TACTTTTCCAGCATTTTTTCAATCAACGTTGGTCTGAAGTTCACATGGCTGATCATGTGTTCAGGATTGCTCTTCTTAAACAGGATGTAGGAGTTCAGCATTGCAATGTTTAGAAAGTGGTGACAGAATTTCTTATACCAAAACTTGTGCCTTTTGCGCTGTTGGATAAGAAATAAGCACCTGATCAACCGAGTTCGCTGCTCTCATATTCTCATTATAATCTACAATGACACATGGCTTCTTAGTTTTCTTTCCATTTCTGCTGTCTACTTCAAGTACAGTATCATTGTGGAAGGCAGACAACATTGTCACCTCCTTGTCACACCATTTCAGTGCCATAAATTCACCACAGAATCTGGTTACAGTAGTCCCCTTTGCAATCCCTTCTTTTCAGATCTTTTGGCATCTGTTTTCTGTTCAAACAAGCTGTCTCAACTGTATCAGTCCTATTTTGATGTAACACTCTGAAAAGCAGGGGAGATGTATGGCAAACTTTGAGGGTAAAGTTTGGACTGTAATCTGTGAGTTATCTCAGGGTAAACGCTGCAGCTGCAAGCACCACCAGTGAATATACTCAGGGAAAATGGGAAATGGATTAGGCCCTCAACAGAATGGATGATGCCTGAAGGACATTTTCTTTACTCAGTTTACTAATTCAAATGCCAATATCTTCTGGAAACTCCTTCACAGATATACCCAGAAATAGTTTCCCCAGTTGTCTGGGCATCCCTTAGCCCAGTGGTCCCAATCTTTTTGGCACCAGGGACCAGTGTTCTTATGAGAATCTAATGCCTGATGATCTGAGGTGGAGCTGACGAGGTGATGCTAGTGCTGGGGAGCAGTTGCAAATATAGATGAAGTTTTGCTCACTCACCTTCCCCTCACCTCCTGCTGTGCAGCCCAGTTTCTAACAGGCCAATGACTGGTACCAGGGGTTGGGAAGCCCTGCCTTAGCCTGAGGAAGTTGACACATAAAATTAACCTTCACACCATCTAATGAATTTGAATCTATCTTTTGACGGCTCATATTGCTACTATTGGTCAAGACCCCTTCTCTATTTTGCCCTCTTCTATCTCTCTGCCGATGTTTCTTTTTGTCTGCAGAATCCCAGGATGAGAAGGGCACAGCATCCTGGGGTTGCCCTTGAGGGCCTGAAGGGAGAAGCTGGGGGCCAGGGAAAGAACCCACCTCTGGAGTGGGAACTTGACAGGGAGTACAGTGGGGAGGGGATGTGATGAAGGGGTTTTAAGCAAGATAAGCAGACAGCAGGAGTGGGCCCAAAGTTAGAAAGGCCGTTGGAGATTTTAATGGAAATGGACTTTGACCTGGGACTTGCAGGGGAGACACCCCCTAAAAGTGTCTCAGGGCCAGGCAAGACAGAGATTGTAACATCCACAGTGGCCCCCTGTACACATACACTGGTGTGTGCAGCACATGGGATGGAGAAGTCCTCTGAAAGGCAGGTTGCAAGAGGAAAGAAGAAAATATTTCCCTGAAAGTGACTCTTCCTACACCTGCTTTCCAGCGTAGGACACTATGTAAGCGTGGAGCTGGTATAGGCGGGGACTGAGCCTCCCACCCTACCCTGACCTCCTCAGGTTCTGTACCTCCTTTCCCCCAGTGGCATCCAGTCTCTGGATTCAGAGCCACCTGGATATTTTGTATCCAGTACAGCAGGGCTGCCTCCATTATACTGAAGTTGAATGTTTTAACCAGTGTAAGGTAAAATCTTAAGAGTTGTGAGGGCCACTTATATTAAATGTTGGGTTTTCTTCTTAAGTCAAAAAAAGTTTAGTTAAAAATATTTTTTTGAGGGGTAGAGACTGACAGAGTCGCTCCTTGAACAAACTCTACTCAGGCTCCTCTGAGCTCCTTTTCAACCATATCTGACATTTGGGCTTCCTGTTCCTCTCTGCACTGTCCAATTTTAGCAAGAATCCTCATAAATCAATTTATCCAGACTCCTTCATCTTCCATATCTGATCAGATTCCACATCCATGACCATTTCCCCAGGTGATGTCTGATCACTCTGGCCTGCTTTGAGCAAGAATTCTGTTAGGTGAGTTTAGCCAGAATTCCTCCTTAATCCTGATATTTCCTCTTAGTACTTTTTCACTCACTGACCCCCACCCCACTACTCTTGATCTTTGGCTGTAAATTCTCACTTGTCTTTGTTCAGAGTTGACCCCAATCTCCCAGCCTCCAATACTCCATTGCAGTGGTCCCTATACCTATTATAATAGTTCTCCCTTGAATAAAGTCATTCTTACCATCATTAACAAGTGTCATGAATAATTTTTTCTTTAACAAGGCAAATGTCCTGCAAGTGCCCCAAGTGTGATTCAGCCAATGTGGGCTTTGGTTGGATCCAGGAACATGCCTCATATCCACCGTAACTATGGCCAAGATCTTTGAATATGGTAGGATATCATTCTCTTAATGAGGTTATGTTAGGTGGCAAAGGTGAAGTGGTCTTACAGATGCAGTTAAGGTCCATAATCAGTTGGCTATAAGATAATTAAAAGGAAGATTTCCCTCAGGGTTAGCCTTTTTAAAAGATTGTCTACAGATCAGACACAGAGGCAATCAAAAAGAAGTGAAGCCAGGAACAGTTTCCTGCTGGCTTTAAAAAACAATCAAAGGAAAGATAACCAGTAACTAATAAAATGGTTGACTACAGGAGTGGGGAGGAATAGAATAAAAATGATAGAAATCAGAATAAAAGTGACAGAAGGGTGACACTTCTGAGTATATCATTTGTACTCAAAAATGAAATTAAGGATTGGAAAAAAACTTTGAAATTGAAAACAAAGTAATAAATGAGCCCAATCGTATTTCAAACGAATACCATAATCACACAAAAGAAACAAAAACCAATTCAAGTCATTTTTGAACACAGTAATTTTTATTACATCCATTCAGACAAAAGACAACAGTAACTGTTAAGAATTTTTAATTCTACCTAACTAGTTAATTTTTTTTTGCAGTGGTGTGGGTGTAGCAATTCTGAAATTTTTATATGTAAAATATGAATGAACATGTGCTTAAGTGTATTGAGGTTGTGGAGCCTAGGTTTCCTAGTCATGAAGAAAGGAGATGCAGAAATATAAGGGAGAAGGAGAAGATAAGTCCCATGGTGTTGAATTGGAATTAGTTATTAGCATAATTCAAAGTGTGTGTGTGTGTGTCTGTGTGTGTGTGTGTCTATTTCCTAGCTCTGTCTACTAAAGGGCCTAGTAACAACGAACACACCACAACCCAAATCTTGGTTTCTAAATTTTATTTCCCAATGATAGAAACAAGGTTTCTTTGGAGAATTGGTTGATTGAGGCAAGCAAGTATGAGGTTGAGATTAGGGGAGGGTAAATACAAGATTAGCCTAGGACACCTTTTGCTGGAAAGTAAGGAAATACAAAAATAAGGAATAGGTAAAAATGAAACAGGAGACAGGTTGAATGGGCTACCACTGGCCAAATTTGACAAAAATTTGACAAAAAAATGACAATTTTATCATCAAAATGAAAGATGAATTTTCCAATGTCGTGTAAGGAGCTTGGGAGTCATCACTCCCATCTATGTAGTAAGAAAAAATTTTAACAAACTGAAAATCAACAACTCTTTCTTCTTAGACTCTTAGATCCATCTGAAAATTTGAAGTCACAGTGCAAATTACTGCCTCCAACATCAGAGAGACAGACAGGTAGACACAGAGAATTACAACTTATTAAAGCAGTAATACTTGAGCAAAAACCTCAGATAGGACCACTGACAGGGTAGATAAACCCAAATTGTAATGGACAAATTGATGGAGGCAGAATGTAGATATGTTTGAGATTCAAAAACTCCAGGAGACCCACACTATTGTGAGGTTTATTTCCAGTAACTCTACCAGGCTTTCATAGTGAAGATTAGAGAAAAAGCTCCTTGTGCTTCTAGCAGGGAGAAAGGGAAAGTAGTCATTGTGAAATAAACCTGATTCTTCTTAATAAAATATAATCTCAAAACAATTTCACCAGAGCCTAACCAACTGGAGTTTTACCCGACTGACATGGTGGAAGGAAAATACCCAACTGCATCCGCTCTAGCCTTCCTGTCTTAGCTAGGGGGTGTTTGTTGGGAGTGGGGACTGAGAAGCACTTATGAAGGTCACAGCATAGCAGTATAGGCTCACTAAAAGATTGAATCTTGATCATAGCACTATAAAATGCTTCCCCTGGCCCTATACCTTACTACCAAATCAACAGGGCTGTATATAACAACAGAGTAATATGATTGAAAGAACTGTGCATCTCAGACCTTATTTAAGAAATCTCTAAGGAACTCCCCAAAACAAAACAAAAAACAAAAAAGAAACAAACAAACATATGAGACAAAAATAGGGACACTAGAGGAAATTTTAGCCTCTGACACCTACAGTTATAGCAAACAATAAACACAATCTAGCCCCAATCAAGTCAACATAAAATCTCACACTAAACGTCTATTTACTTCAGTTAATCTTAATCTTAATATTTACCCTGAAAAAAAATTTACTTTGACTTCAAATTTCAAGTTGATATCTTTTAACTGATCTTAGTTTTAAACAACCTGGAACTTGAACCTGAGCTTGAATTTTCCTTTGATTTTGACCTTGGCACCAAATCAGACCTACTCTTTGTTTCTGATTAACAGCAGTAATCCTCATGTCCTTGACACTGAACTTGACATCCATCTTGAAATCTGTTTTTACTTTGACTCCGATTTAGTCCCACATCATGTTCCAGACTATCATCCATGTCTGGTCTAAATATTAACTTGATTTCAACCATATCTTGATATTGAACTGGAACTTAAACTTCACTTTGATATTAAACTTGAACTTTACCATGATCTTGTCCATAATTAAAATCTACTTTCTGTGCCAGACTATCAAGTATGTCTACTTCTGAGTGTGTTACCGAACTCAAAGGGTTCATTTTACCTGAGTGCATCAATAGTGAAAAGAGACATGGACAGGAGTTTGCAGCAAAGAAACTTTATTTAAGGAAATGGCACCAAGCTCGAAGACACAAGTGAGCTAGTGCTCAAAGATCTGGTTCCCCGATGGCCTCTAGGAGACAGGTTATAAAGGGGAAAACTCATTAGCTAGGGAGTTGGCTCTACTGATTGGTCAGGGCTAGGGTAGGAGGCAGTTGATCATTGAATCAGGTCCTGATGTCAATTATGGCGTCGTTCCATCTGTTTTCAAAGGGATGGTGGTAGGATCATTCCACCTTCATGGGTGTGGATCTGCAAGATATTATCTTTAGTTTGAGGGAAACTCTTGTTTTGGTGGTTAACAGACCTGAGGCTTTGTTCTAAAGATGATTTGGTGCTGACTTAAGGGACTCTTTGGTACTTAAATATTATGCAAATGGATAAGGCAAGGAAAAAAGAGAGTGAGCCCAAGACCAGTTTGGATCAAGGAGAAAGAGAAAAGGTCATTTTTTAAAAAGTGAAGATTTACATATTACAAATGTAAACTTGAAATTAACGATGATGTTGACCTTTAACTTTGCCTAGATCTTGACATATATCCTTGACCTTAATTCCATACTTGACCTTGATCTTGGATCTCAATGACGATCTGTCTCTATATTAATCAAGTCTCAATTTGAATACAAACTTGATCTTGATCCTGAATATAACTTTGACCTTAAACTGACCTTGAAACTGACCTTGACTTGATTCAGATTTTCATATTGTCTCTACTATTGTCAAGATGATATCTAGACCCGACTGTGAATTTGACATTGATCTTGACCTTGATCATGATTTATACACGCTTTCTCATCTATGATTCAGGACATGTCTGGCCATGATTGTGAACTTCTATATATGTTCCTGGTCTTGGAAGTTACCTTGACCCTAACCTTCAAATTAACCTTAAGCTTGATATTGATGTTGAATTCAACCTTGACTTTTACCCGGATTCAAATCTTTTTATTTTTTTTTAAATTGTCCAGACCATATCTAGATCTGACTGTGAACTAAACTTGATCTTGACCTTGACAACACTGACCTTAACTTTGACAAAGAAATTGACCTTGTCCTTTCCCCTATTTGGGCCTATCTATCAAGCATGTATAGCCTTGGTCATAAAGTTTAACTGGACCTTGAATTTGGCCTTAACCTTAAATTTATATTCACCTTCAACCAATTCCTGTGCTTCACTTTCATCAAGACCCCATAGATGAATTCAACCCAGATACTGACTTTGGTCTTATAGCAGGATTCATCCCTGATGTTGTATTCAGTCCCATAACCAGATTTATACCTCATAATTACTCATCCTTATGTGTGGATTTAACCCTGATGACCACCTCAGCACTGCACCTGGATTCAGCCAGATGTTGAACTCAGTCCTGCAGAAAGATTTGTCCTTATGATGGTCATTTGGGTTTATTCCTGATGATGCCCTCTGTTGTGAAGCTGACTTTATCACCTATGATAACCTTACTCCACTGAAAAATTCATTCCAGATACTAATCTCAGCCCTGCATCAGGGATCATTCCCAATGATAATCTCATCTCTGCAGTTGCGTTCATTTTTGATGGTCTCAAACCTACACATGGATTCATCTGTGATGATCTTAATGTGAAAACCATGTTCAGTTCTGAAGATTACCTAATCTCTACAGAAAATTTCATTTCCAATGATGACCTCCGCCTGGCAGACAAATTCATTTCAGAAATTGATCTCATTCTAGCAGCAGGGTTATACTTGATTATGTCCTTAGCCAGGGAACTGGATTCATCTCCAGTGTTGACCTCAGTCTCACAGATGTCTCACCCGTGATGATAACCTCAGCCCTGTGTTTGAATTTGTCCCAGATGTTGACTTCATTTCTGCAGCATAATTCGTCTCTGATGATTATAGTCCCCATCTTTATTTCTATCTCTAGCCGGAGCTCTTGTCTAGCCTTAACCCATCTAATGATTCTAACACCAATTCCACTTTGTGTGGGGTTCCCCCACTACCAAGCAGTTCTTTGACACCAGTTGAGTGTCTTACAATTCAACTCAATTCTAATACTATCTACCTGGAGATAGTGTCAGATCCCAGATGATCTGTGTTAAGTCCTACAAGACTGCCCCCTCCCCCACTTCAGATGTAGATACCAAGTCCAAGTTGTCACTTGTGCTTCTATTTAGCTGTAGACTGGAGGATGATCACCATCTCAGGTTTAATTTGCTAGAGCAGATCACAGAACTTAGAGGAACATTTTTCCTACTAGGTTACTGGTTTATCCTCTACCCTCAAGGTTCTTTTTGTTAATCTAATAGTCAAATAGGAACCCTTGGCAAGGAGGCTACTGAATGAAATTTAATGGACTGATCTAAATGAACCTCCATAGGAGTGGAAAAATCTCTGGTCTGGCAGGCAGACTAAACTTTACAGCCTTGGTTCTGCCACAATTCCCCATGCTACCCAATTTCCCCCTTCCCTTGCTAGCCAAACTTATTGAAATACTTGATATTTCCACTTCTTAATGTCTTACTCATTCCTAATCCCCATGGCAATTTTCTTCTTATCCCCATCTTTCACAATAGTTCTGAGGAAAG